TGAGACGGTCTCCAGCAGACCAGGGGCACCGGAGCAGCTTACGAACGGGGCTTTCTCGCCCCGGAGCTCGCAGGTAGCAATCCGCCACCTCGACCTCCGAGGTGAGAGAGCCCCGTTTGTAAGTCGGATCCGCGTAAGTCGGGGACTGCCTGTATGTACCAGTTCTGACTTACATACAAATTCAACTTAAGAACAAACCTACAGTCCCTATCTTGTACGTAACCCGGGGACTGTGTGTGTGTGTGTGTGTGTGTGTGTGTGTGTGTGTGTGTATAATATCAAAACAGAATACTGATCGCCTTGCACTCCTGAATCTTCCCATTTGTTCCATGGCATTTGTAAAGAAGTATGGCACTGAGCAATCTCAGAATATTGGCAACTTGAATGCACTTTTAAAAAGGCTCTCAACCATGCATTTTTCCAGAGGGGATGTGCATCAGACTTTACTTGGGGAACCCCAGAAATCAAACCTGCTCTGAAAGCTAAAAAATGACCTCATCCATTGGTGAACAACATTCTATGTGAACTACACAATTACAGGGGTCAAAGAAGACCTGGAGCTTGATGATAAAAATGTTTCTTCATCTCATGCCTTGGCTTTCTTGTTTCAGGGCCCTTAAGATTTTGATGGTATCCCTACATTGGCTATACATTGTAAACGTTCTGCCATTTTCTATTTCTTCCAATGTGTACGGTTAATCTGTCCTATAATTTAGAGCTAATTAAAATTATAATTCAGTTATTTTGCACCTTCCTTAGAGAACAATACACACGAATGATCCTTGAACAAGAGAACCTTGGAAAGGTAAGGATGAATTGGATTTTGTTTTTACTTGAACAAACATGTTACAGTTTATACTTTTATTTGGTTGTGTTCAAAACTGTGCTCATCTTTTTAAAAAGCATATTGTAGACCACAAAGAAAACTTGATTACCATTGGCACCAGCAACTAATCCCCTGAAACCTTCAGAGTTTGATTTCCTACAGAGTATACCATGAGCTTCTTATAAAAGACAGTCAAACAGCTTAACACAACAGCACATTCCTTGTAAACCATCTGGATAAGAAACTGAAACATAGATGTAACAAACTGTCAGCTTAAATCTGAAGTCATATATAAAGCAGCTTGTCAAAGTCAATGAATTTCAGAGCTGTCAGTCTTATTTTTATAAAAGACTAATGATTATCTTCAGTGTAGCTATATTAAGACAAGCTGTTGTCCAGGTTTAGTTAAATATGAAGTTCAGGCTAGTGAAGAAGAGCTTAGCCAGACTATTTCAACAAAAATGTTTTCTTTTTTTCCTTTATCATTTTCTCTTTGAGTCAGTTTGCAAGTGAATGTTAGCTAGCAGTTTGTCACTATAATCAAATTAATTGTAGTTTCTCATGTAAAAGTTTAATTTCAGGATATATAACTTCATAGTCAGACTATTACAGATTGCAGCTTGATATGGAAAGTCTCAGTCAAGAAGTGAGCAGATTTTTTTAAAATACACTTTTACAAAACAAATGAGACTCCCACAGAGAACTAGGAACACAGCTGGGTAAAGTTGCATTGTAGAAAAAGGGGGTACCTATTTTCAAGGAGCTGCAATAAATCTATCATACAAGGCACACACATCAAAGACTTTACAAAGAATGCTGCATGGGGTGTTTTCTCACTTAAATGAACATTAATAATGTTCTTTATTCGCATTAGGCTATCTATGTAAGGTAATGTTTTTCATGCTGAACCCTTTCAAAAATCTGAAATAACTTTATTTGTTTATAACAGAAACTACGAGAGAAACAAAAAGCTGTGCGAGAAAGTCATGGGCCAAATATGAAGCAAGCTAAAATGTGGCGGGATTTTGAGCAACTGATGGCGTGTAAGAGAGAGTGTTTTCTAAAGCAACAAAATCAAGCTTCTGTGGGTCAAATCATTCAGGAAGGAGGCGAGGATAGGCTGGTATTATGAATTTGTTTAGAATTCCTGCTTTTTACCTCATCATTTCCTCAGATCATTCCATTGAATATTACTTTGTTCTCTCACTGTCTACATAGGTTGCTTTTAAATTATTTAATTTCAGTGGGTAATGTAAGGGTGATATTAACTCCTATGCAGAGAGCCCTCTACACTATTTAAGTGCCAGATTAATGGCTTAAGTTATATGGAGGGCTTTGTGTGAGCCTTTTGCACTAATGTGAATTTCACTATAAAGCCTAGATACCTTCCCAAAGAAATTAAGGGAAAACTACCAGCTTTCTATGGCCTTGAGAAAGTATTAGAGCTGTTCTGCAGTAGCTATTATAGCCCTAACATTACATTTTTAAGGGCAAAGATATTAATTTCTAGTTAATTGTGTACCTTCTGGTCCACCCATTTCCTATCTTGGCCCTCTACTTCTTTCCTTGCCCCAATTTATCCACTATGTGCTGGTAAGCATGGAGTTATTGCAGAATTGAGCTCCATGCTATGCTAGAGTGCACATACCTTGTACAGTCCTAAACTCTCTTCTTCCTTGTACAATTGAGGTAACCAGTTGTGATGCTAGAAGATCCTCCATTGACCCAAAGGCAGAACAACATTTAAAAACAATTACTTGAATTTTGAGCTTTTTAATTTTTCTTTTTAAGCGTGTGCTGTCTCCTAACTTGCCTGTGGCTGTGTGTTACCCTAATAAAAACTTAAACTGATGCCTTTTAAGAAATACAGGCCTAGAGTTTCCCCTGAACTGAAGCAGCTTTGTGCTGCTTTATTTATGCACAGTGATTCTAAAGCACAGAAAGATCATCCCAGAATAGGGACATCCTCCAGTGGTGTAGATTTGACCCAATTCTTCCTACATACATTCAGAAAAGGATTTGTGGATAAGACTTTACTGCGCCCTAACTAGTTGTCAAAATAGCCCCTGAAGGTCATTGGCAGCTTTCACATTGTTCTAAGGAACATCAAGGGATCCCCCTAGTGCAGAGCTGGCGTAGGATCTGAGGAGTGCATCCCGTGTACTCCTTGGCCACACAGACAGGGGTCAGAACCATAGAAAGTCAAGAAGACCAACATTCTTACAGATTTTCTTAGTTTCTTTTGGCCTGTAGAAAAGCCATTTGAAAATTTCTATCTTGTTAGAAATGAAATTGACTTCATTTTTAATAGTACCTTCAGTGTTACTTTGGGTAGCATATTTTAGCCTTCTCTGATATTTAACTATACGTACATTTGTTGCTTTTTGTGTGAACCCCTTTCCTAGTCTGTATTTGCATTAAATATATTTAACATAACTAGAAGAAAAATAAAATCTGGTTGTCTCTAGTGTGCCTTTATAATTTTTTTTAAAGTTCCTTTAGTTGACAGAAGTAATTGAAGGCAAGCAGTTTGCTGGGCCTTAGAGGAAAAAGAGGATTGCAAAGCTCAGATTCACTTCACAGAGTTATCTCCAAATTCTCCCATGTCAACAAAAAGGGTTTGCAACCAGGCTGAGAGAACAAAGTTTTCAAATTCCACTCATCCCTAAGATATGCCTAGAGACTGGGCACAGTCTCATGCATTGCCTTCTCATCCCTATGTGGGCCCTGCCCCTTTTGGTCTTCCTTCCCCTTCAGGACAGCTCAAGGGACTCTTTTTCTGCAACTGTACGCTAATCTTCTCTCCAAGGATAGGTAGATGCTGCAAAGGGTTAAGCAGCATTAATTCCTATATAGATTTTCACTGGTTTTAGAGAGAATCCTGCTGAGAAGGAGGTGGACCTTCAGTAGATTTACAGCGAGCTAGAATAGCTTGTTCTTACCACCATTTGCTTCTTCCAAAATTTAAGTGCCCTATATGGCAAAAGAAGTATTGTCTTAAGATAAAGTCACTGGACTGGAACTATATCAAACAGTGTGCTAGATGCAAGCTCAACAAAACGGCTGCAGACTATGTGATATGGGGAAACCCAGTTCCAGGAATATCTTGAGATTCTTTTCTTGCTAGCCCAGTATTTATTAATTATTATTCTTATTGTTACATTAATTTACAGTGCTCTAGTGCCAAAATGAGCTGAAGACAGTTACTGCAGTTACATACTTGGCCTTTTGAGGATGGGTTATAGGCATCTTGTTGAATGCTTGTCATCAACAGTGAAATAGCATGGCCATCTAGACAGAAGATATATTAGGGGGAGCCTGGGATGATCTCCAGAAAAGGGGCATTTGGATTCCTTAGGAGTCATGTGCAATGGTGAAGGATAACACATGCTACAAAGCCACAGAAAAGGGGGAAGGGGAGAGGATGGGGAAGGAACATGCACATGAAACAATAACTTAACAAAATCTGAAACTCTAAAATCATGTTGATTATTCACTAAACCATTTAGAGTGACATTCTTTATTATATGGCATTGCCAGTTACCCAGTACTATAGTTGTACTTTCAAAATCTATAAGAGTAATGTACAGTCCAACTGGCTGTATTTTTTTTAATGTTGTGTTGCCCTGAGAGCAGAATCTTTTTCTTTTTAAAAACAAGTTACTTATAGCTCATTTAAGTTTATGTGATAGTTGCACTCATTTAATTAATGCTGCATCATTCTTACATCATTAGAATGATTTGCTGAGGTGAAGCAGAAATTCATAAGTACTTAATAAAAGACAATTGGAAAAACTAAAAAGCTGTTAAACAGTTATTTTTAGCTTTTATATAAGTGGACATTTAATAATGTAGCTTTCATAGATTCTGTTCTGAGGCTTTTCCAGCCCATTAGAGATTTGATGAGAGTATTCAAAAATCTTTGACTGATTCTGACAGTTGATACCTTCTGCTAATAACTTACAAAGAAGGAGCTTATTATCTTTTGCTCTATTTGAATTAATAGTTTAACTAGCTCCCTAATCAGATTATAAACACAATGTGAAAAATCATCTGCCTTTTACTTGTGAAGATACAAATAAAGCAGAAAAAAATTTAGTGAAATTCTGTGTTCCTGTACTTTAAAAAAAATATTTATATTAAGATACCAACTCTTGCTAATAGTTTAGACAAATTGCAAACATTGATTCAAGAGACCTAGTCCATATCTTTACCCAGAATAAGATCAGGAAATAATCCAACTTTAAAGGCTCTTTGTGTTCCATAGCATTGCATGGTTTTGACATGAATGTTTAACACTGATTCAGGGGATGTCCTTTTCAAGAGTTACAGGCAACTCCCAAATGAGTAAGCACTATGAATAGGGAAATCAAAAATGGGTATGAGCAAACTTATTTGGCTTGTTACATAAACAGTTAACACATTTATCATCTGGATTTCACATGATCATTTGTTTTAGTCAATATTAGCAGTTATCATTTTGTTTCTGCTTGAGCATTAATAAAGGAGAAATGTTAGAATATCCCCCAAAAGGCCCAAATCTGCAAACACTTTATGTATAAACATATAACTTTACTTATAGGATTGGTATCATTGAACAATTCACATATGTAAAGCCGTCCACATGCTTATGTGTTTGTAGTCTTGACCTCTACAGAGCTTTATGTTTAAATATGTGAAATTTTTGGTTGATGAAGTTTAAAAAGACCTGAAAAAATCTAGTTTAATTAAGACCTTAACATTTTGTTCTAAAATAATTTAACTCAAAACATTTGTCACAGATTAACCTAATAAATATAAAATCAATTAAGGGTGTCTCCTGCAAATATCTGTATTTTAAAATATAGTATAATAGAAACATTTACTTAGTGACAGCTCAGTAAATTAAAAAAACATTGTGAGAATATCCTGTTTAATTGAAATGGATAGTATCATTCTCAATATGTATTATAAAATCTGTTCTCATGATGACCAGATGGCTCTGGGAACTGGAGATGGAATACAGAGCCTTCCACCTCTAGATCATTGTTCCATATCTTGCCCAAGTCAGAAGTAGCTGAACATCTACTTTCTAATAGCTGTCCTCAGCTCACCTAACAAGTTGGTGGTATCAAGCTGGTTCCTAAATCCCATCTGGGAAATTGGTGGTCCCAGATGGCAAATTTTGGCAGTCTTGTAGCCATTCTCACCAGCAGTGATGGCATGAGAGTGACAGGGCCATAAAGACCAAGTTACCCTCTTACCATTAGGTATCCCCTTGTGCCACATTGGCAGAGGTTTGGAAACATACCCTTCTGTATCTGCATTGTGGATAAAGAGAACTACAACCCTGATGTCTGTAAATCTGGCACCTTTAATTAGTTATGTATTTACCCAGATTTAAATGAGGAAAAAAAAAGACACTTGTTTTCTGTGTGTCCAATGTTATTTATATAAGCAGATTTCCTGATGAAGGAATTTTGTTAATTCTGCAGATGCCTTTCAGTTCTGGCTTCTGCACCAGCCTCTGCTTCCCCCCCAGCCTCTGAAAAGCAATAAAATGCTACTATTTCCTTGAACATGTCAATGCATGTGTCAGCTTTGGAGGTATCTATTTCTCTAGGAATCAGCTGCATGAGGCAACACCCAAATAATTTAAGTAGTCTCAAAATTGTACCTAATTTAAAGTTGTTTTAATATGCAAAGGAAGGGGCATCTCCATCCTGAATGTGAGCGCCACACAAACCCAATATTTCTATCCTTGTGCTCCCTATATTGGTTTTGCTGCAGCCGTTTCCAAACACCTATCTATCTATATATTAGAGATTTGTGCATCTGTCTTTTCTGTGTCTGTCTTTCTGTCTGTGTCTGTCTGCGAGACTTTTAGTTCAAGAACTCTTCCTAAACGGTAAGAACTAGGACCACCAAATTTAATATGTAGCTTCCTCTTATCATAACTTTAAGCAAGGTCAGGGTTTGGTTGTGCCAAGAAAATGGGATGGGCCAGGAATGGGGTTGTTTTCCATAACATGGAAAAAGAAGGGGAACGGGCAAGAGGGATACGATACAGGCCACTGGGGACAGCGAGCCTGCCAGGGAGAGCTATATTGCAAAGAGGCCACTAGGGGCAGCTGCACCACCAAGAGGGAGGCCAGCAGAGCTGAGCATCTGCCATCTTTCCTGTCACCAGACTGGGTAAGTAGTCCCCCTACTCCTATCCCCTACCCTTCCAACCCTTGGCTGCAGCACTGGAAGGGGTTGGCGGGGAGACAGAAGGCCCCTAGTGGCCAGGGAAGGCTGGGAGAAGACAGAAGTCCCCAGCAGATGAAGGGGGGAGAGAATGCCCTCCCACCCTGAGCTCCTCCTCACTCCCCCAGCCTTCACTCTCTCACCTTCCCACACCCCTAGCCTCCTGTCCTTCCCCTCCTCACAAGCCCAAGACTATGCAATGACTCCTGCACCTCTCACATCACCAGCTTCCTGCCCTGAAGGACTTGGGCAATACTGGGTAAGTTTTCTGATATTTAACTAACTACATGGTCGGGGATGTTTTTTTCACAGATAATTGTGCTGTGCTGCTTTCAGTGATTTTGGTGTACAAACAAGGAAGCAACTGGGGCCCTGATAACTTACTGTCTCTTTAAAAGGCCACGGGTGTTGGCGAGGCAGAGCAAAAATGTCCTATGTAATTGAGATAAAATCAGTGATATTGTGGGTCAAATCTTGCAGTCCTCCTTCTAACAAAATTCTTGTTGACTTCAAGTGAAATGTTGCCACAATAAAATCTGATGGAGTTAACTCTATGGTCTTTTTCTTGGCAACACAGAAGTATTGGGTTAGCATTAATTTTACCTAAAATAATTGTCTTAATTCTGCTGAAGTCAAACTCCCACTGAAATGAACACCTTAATTTAAAGATCTGAAATTTATTAAAGTTTTTCTCATTATGAAAGACAAAATACGCTAGTAGCTATCATTTTAATGTGTAGGTGATGTCTACTCAGTTTCTCTGTCAGGTTCTCATGCATTAACATAATGCTGCAATATTTATGACCGTTTATTTTTTTTAAATAAGCTATTGCTTTATTTCAGGGAAATATTTTCAAGAATGATTAAAAAAGCAAATAAAAGAAGAACAATGGAAAAACATGAACATTAAGTTAGAGAGA